CACAGCTGGTGCTATACCCCCAGGACACTCTTCTCTACTGGACTGCTGACCCCGCCCCACAGGCTGGGGAAGCCTTTTTGCTGTGATGAATGGCCCCCCGGCAGCCCATTTGTTAGTGGGCAGTAACCCAAGACCTGTGCCCCAGAGTCTCTTGGGCAGCTCTCAAGAGCCTGTGAGTCTGAGACAGCAAGTGGCTGGCTGTGGTGTTCTCAGGGCATTTTTGCGGGGTAATCATGGGCCCAGGCCACTGCAGAAGCCATCACTGCACTGACTTTGTAGAAACCACTGACCATACCCTTAAGCTCCCAGGAATATGTGCCCACCTGGAGCTGCATTGCCAAAAGTACTCTGGGTGACTGGGTGGTCAGCCCCACCCCACAAGCCACAGAGTCCTTTTGCAGCAGCAGAGGGCCCACGACGGCCTGGGAAGATTTTGGTGGTGGACAGTGACACAAAACCTGCACCACAGCCACACTTGGGCAACTCTCAGGGATTTGGAGCCCTAAGTGCAATGTTCTAAGGATGTTTCACAAAGTGGTTACAGGCCAGGTACTGCCCCGAGTGACTGGGTACGATGTTCTTGGGGCACTGTGCGAAATGATCACAGACCAAGCACTGGCGTTAAGAACGGAATCTGCATTAACTTCGCAAAAACTACTGGCCACATCTCCTGACTCCCTAGAACTCCATCCCACTGCATCGCTGAGGGTACTCTCAACACCAAGTCAACCAGCATAGCCCGTGTAATTAAGGAAGTTCTTTCAATGGCTGGGCCTTACTTACAGGCACCTGATGGGTGGCAATAGGCCTAAGGGTCTCTGGGCCTTTTTGCAAAGCTGCCTCAGGCCCATTACTGGTGGCAGCTGGCCTCTGTTCACAGCAAGGCCACCACCACATGCCTCCTGGCCCAGCAAAGGTAACAGCCAACCACGTATAGCTCTGTGACACCCACAAGGTAGCTGCAAGCCAGTAACAGGCAAAGTTGAAATTGGCTTCCATGGGAGCCCCTCCCAAGAGACACGAGAAACAACACACCCAGAGGCCTGGTCATACCACACCAGAGCACTACCTGGTTAGTCCCAAAAGTGACACACCCAAAGGGGTGGAGGAAAGAGGGGGGTACTCAACAGGCACAAGAGCACATGGGGGCAAATCCTCCTCTGAAGGGTCAGCCCCCACACAGCCGCTCATACTGTAACCAATCCTCAGTCAACCTGGGAGTCAATGCCACCCACTGACACGCCAAAGCAATCAAGGCTCAAATACAACAGGAAAACACACACAGCACACTCAAGGGACACTCCCGGAACACAGGCACACAGTACATCAGGGAGACTGCGCCATTGGACCACACAGGACACATACTACATATGGCCACCCAGGTAGGACTGGGATACAAAGGAGATCTACCTACTAAGTAGAAGCGAACGCTAAAGGAAGCCAGAATGAGAAAACAAAGAAACATGCCCCAATTAAAAGAACAGGAGAAACCTCTAGAAATATAACTAAATGAAATGGAGGCAACCAACACCGAGCTTAAAACACTGATTATAAGAATGCTTAAGGAACTTAGTGAGAATTTCAACAAAGAGATAGCAAGCATAAAGGACATAGAAACCACAAAAAGAACCAGTCAGAAATACAAAATACAGTAACTGAAATGAAAAACACACTAGAAGGAATCAACAGTATAGATGAAGGAAAGAATCAAATCAGCAATTTAAAAGATAAGGTAGCACAGAACCCAATCAGAATAACAAAAAAAGAATTTAAAAAATGAAGAAGGGCCAGCAGAGTGGCTCAGTTGGTTAAGAGCTCGTTCAAGAGTGCGAGCTCTGAGCAACAGCGGTTCGAGTCCCGGCCCGAGCTGAGCTGCTGCTGAGCTTCCAACAGGTGGCAGGATGGCTCAGCTATAAAAAAATAAAAAATTTAAAAACTTTAAAAAATGAAGATAGCTTAAGTGGCCTGTAAGACAACATCAAGAATTACAAAAATCGCATCATAGGAGTACCAGGTGAAAAAGAGAGGGAGCAAGGGATCGAGAACCTATTTGAAGAAATAATGACTGCAAACTTCCCAAACCTGGTGAAGGAAATAAACATACAAGGCCAGGAAGAACAGAGAATCACAAACAAGATGAACCCAAACAGGCCCACACCAAGACACACTGTAATTAAAATGGCAGAGGTTAAAGACAAAGAGAGAATCCTAAAAGCAGGAAGAGAAAGACTAGTTACTTACACGGGAGCTCCCATAAAATTGTCAGCTGATTTCTCAACAGAAACTTTGCAG